CTAATTCAGAAGGCCGGTAACGCACTTGTAACGCCTCTGGTGTCCAGGTATCCATGGGCGACCGCCGATTGCTTATCATCAGGTGATCCGTCTGCTCGTTTACCGGCCTATCCCATAAAAAAAGAGTAATAATTCAAAACTTCGTTAAGGAAATCGTATAGAAATCACGCAAATACTATACTTTATAGATTTATCAATTGATATCTGTAGATATTTCCCATCAGGCATTACATTTAAAGATTGCAGAAGTGCACAAATAGTACGGTGCCTCGGGCGCCTCAACCCGCTCACCTTAAATATTTCATACAGTCTTTGCCGTGATTTATTGTACCACGATAAGATGTAATGATGAACCTAATATTTTATGTTTATTTGATGTTATCTGCTAAACACATCGATGGCATTTCGTCGATTGATTTTATGGTTACACTTACATGTGGTACAGTTCAGTAAAGTTCCTCAGAAATGAAATAGTTGAGTTGAAATCGCTACAGGAATGATTACAGAAATAATTTATCTGTGGGAAGGATCAAGCGAAAATGGGAACTATAAAAGTAAGATCAACAAAAGGAAATGTTTGTCAAAAAACAATTAAAATACATAAAATTATAAGTATTTAGTATCTACATATAGGTATAGAATTTTCTTCTATTCCAAAACAATTATAATTAGGTCACATTTTAAGTAATAGGTATTACCGAACTAATCTTGGTACTTCTTTTATTCTGTATCATGAAATAAAATAAAATAAGCCATTATTACTGTAGTTATCATTTACACTGTCTGGCTCGTTGGCCAAGTGGTCGCAACTACCGGGCAAGGGGTCTCGGGTTCGATTCCCGGGTTGGGCAAAGTACTACTGGATTTTTAAAAATCTCAGTAGTAGCACGAAGTCTGGAAACGTGCCCTGTATATGGCAATAGGCTCACCCCCCATTACATGGGACTCATAACAAAAATAGTGAAAAGTGGGTGTTACATTGTACAGTGGCATTAAGTGCCGAAATGTGCACCACTGCCTACCCCTTTGGGGATAAAAAGGCGTGATGTTATGTTATGTTATGTCTTATGATTTACAAAAAAAAAACAATTATAACCAAAGTTGTAACAAAGAGGTAAGAAATAAAGCAAACTTAAAAACTACTCGAACATAATCTCAGCAATCGGTTTCTCTCCTCTTACAACAGCTTGTCTTTCAACAAAGGCCTCTTCTAAGGATTTTCACTTGTTTCTGTTCTTTGCTACACGTAACCATTTAAGCTCTGCTAGACCTGCTACCTTATTCTATTTCTATTATACCTACTATTATACAAAGCAGAAGAGTTTGTTTTTTGTTTGTTTGAACACGCTAATCTCCGTAACTACAAGTCTGATTTGAATAATTCTTTTTGTGTTGGATAGCGCATTTATCGAGGATGGAGGAGGGGGCTATAAAACATCACGCTACCACCAATAGGAGCTGAGCAGAGCGTGTGAAACCGCGCGGAAGTAGCTATAGTATAATATAGTATAGTATTAAATTAAGTTGTAAGACTTGTATATCAAGCTACCCCGATTAGTACTAAAGAGGTACAAAGGGTAACAAGAAGCTTAAGGTATGTTTTCTGCTATACAACAGGCCTTGATAGGTGTTTCCAATTTATGATAATGGCAGCTGATCGCAATATTCTTATAATACGAGCACAGGTTCAAATACAGTGATCGAGGCCGATCTTATTATCTCGCTGATATTATAGACGGCCATTTCCATCAGGTACCTAGCCAAATGATGGAATAGGTGAATCATAATGGTACTTAAGACAAATACATACAGGTGTATTTTCCGATTATCCGAAACAAACTTAAACTTTTATCCTACGGGAACAGATGACTCCACGGATCACGCTTTACCACACATGGTACACCTTTAGGACTATATATTCAAATAAAATGTATTTTACAATAGCTATAATAAGTTCAGGTAGAGTAATAATAGCCGCGGAAGACTTAACGGGGTACCGGGGCTCCGGCTCGAAGTGCAGGAGTAGGAACGGGGTGGTTTTTAGTCAGTAAGAGTCTGACACTCCCTCCCGCCTCACCCAGGCGGGAGCAATCATTCTATGATTTTTTCCCCTTAAAAAAAACCGTATTTATGCGCGTTGGATGTTTTTCACCCCTTAAAAAAAAAGATAGAGTAATTATACCCGGAGCTGCAGACAACTTAGTGGGTTACCGGGGCTTCGATTCAAATAGGAGTAGGAACGGAGTGGTTCTAGTCAGTAACTCTCTCTCTCGCCTTATTTATGGTGGAAGAAAACATTGGATAATTCTTCTCCCATTAAAAAAAAAATAGAGTAATAATGAAAAGTAAAGTAAGGAATTAAATATTTCTTTTGTGTAATAATAGCTGTAATCAACCCCTTAAGGCTGATGTTGCATGTAAACAAAAACGACTTTTTTTGTCAGCGTTCCGTTTATGCCCTGTATTTTTTTTTGTGGCATAAGCCGGTAAACGAGCAGACAGATCACCTGATGGAAAGCAATCGGCGTCGCCCATGGACACCTGGAACACCACAAGTGCGTTACCGGCCATTTGGGAATTAGGAGTTTAAGAATCGTTGGGATTCAGGGATTGGGGAGATTGGGGAAGGGGAGGGTAATTGGGCCTCCGGTAACCTCACTTGCATGACGATACACAACGCAAGCGTTGCTTCACGTCGGTTTTCTGTGAGGCCGTGGTATCACTCCGGTCGAGCCGGCCCATTCGTGCCGAAGCATGGCTCTCCCACACTTAAATACACAATAACACACGTATTAACGAAATACAAGCCAACTGTCTCAAGGAAAACGCGATGCTCTTTAAGAATATTCCATTAAACTTATGCAAGTGGAGTCAACTAGATATTTTATAGGTCGTTGGTATATGGCATGGCACGTTAATTAATAAGTACTGGCTCATTCGTCATCCATCATCTTTAGCTTCGTCCACACCAGTTGGCGTCCGTCGAGAACTTGTGACCAATTACCAATTAAAATCTAAACCGCACTGCGTTTATCTGCACCTATCATGTACATAGCTCATTAAAGAACTGCTCGTATTCTATTAAAATTAATGATATCAATCAATTTAGAATTTTCACTGCATTTTGTTGTTAATATGAGAGCGTGTGGTCGGTTACTGATACACATGACTATGCTAGATACTACCTACATGCAATATCCAAGTACGATATTGATCGAAATTCAGTGCTCAAAATTTTTAAAGGACCGATTGCCAAATTAAATGATCTAAGAGAGAACTAAAGGTATGAAAATAACTCAAAGCTGATTGAAATAGTAATGTGGCAATAATTTGGGTTTATTCCAGATCAAAGACCATTATTAAGCAAATGTAGCATAGGGTGCCTTCCATCTAGTACTGGAAGTGACTGGATGTGAAAAGACGACAATCGAGTTTAGTGGAATGCTACTGAATAAGGGTATATGTCAAACTATGGACGAAACTGAACGAATGATGATGATAATATAGAATTTTAAAGTTGGTTTAGATATGAGAAAAATTTAACGTGACCAAACTTGAAACGGTTTTACATAATTACAAAGAACATAAGGAATTGCACTTGGTTAATCAAAATGTATTAATTAGGCCCTTACTTAAAGTCTAATCGGACTACAAGCTCCTAACCGACACGTTAAGATACAATAAGAAGATAAAATAAAACGTAAAAATAAAATAAATCGATTAAAAATCAATTATTTCGTAAGACGCTACTGCGGGATCGGAACAAGATCATTTTCAAGTAATAGTCGTTGACGCGAGAGGAGCGCCCGCGCATACGGTCACGGACTCGAACTTCAATGCTATGTGACATTTACACAAAACCAACGTTTTACCACCCACTTATTTGAAATTGAAAGTTCCCAACAGCAAAACTAACAATGAATACTTTCATTTATTGGGAAATGGGAATCAAGGTATCAGTCTCAGTAAAGTTCGTTTGACTTAACGGAGATAAGCTTTTTAGATTAGATCGCGTTAGCTATCTATACTAATCTATAGGTACGATAAATTAGAATATTATATATTTTACTCGAACTAGGATGGTGGTGCAAAAGCATGTACCTAAAATGACTCTTATATACCAATCATGGCTTTCACATTAATTGCTACATTTATTGTAAAACTTATTGTTAAATTACAATACTTATTGAAACTTACCCAATGAAAATTAACTTAGGTTATGCTGTTGATAATATTTGTACATATTAAGTGCTTACCGATTTAAGAAATTTCATGATAAAGTTGAAACAAGGAAAGAATCTTCATTTAAGAACTTTCATAGAACTTAAACTTTATAGTTTCTTTCTTCTAGTAAATGTTCGACTAAAAGAATTCAATGAATGCATGTCCCTGTACCTATTATAGTTACGCACACATATTCTTATGCACACCGATATTAAGTTATTTATACTAACAAAAACATAAATGTCACCTTGTCGTGGATTTTACCTAACTATTAAAATGTTTTACGACCATCCGCACGTTTGATGTACGTCGTAAATTGTCGCAAGGTACCAAGTTTTCCCATGTTAGCATACCGTCGATCAAACTTCAACTTATTAGAACACTCACACATCATATTCGTATTAGTCCAATATGCGCCATTAAGAAAATCTTAATGGAAATAGCTAACGCAACTTAATCATGAAGTTGTAGGCTTTCGCAAGTGTGAACTAGTGGGTGCTGCAACAAGTTAGCACATTATAATGACCCATATACAGCACGTGGAGTGAAGATTTCTGTGAACTCCCTGAGGGTAAATTGGTTTTGGTTAGTTAATAGGAACACATCCGTAAAGGGAATTCCAGGCTAGCTAAATGTTTGTGAGCTTGAGGCGTGGGGCAACGAGGCGCGGATGCACTCGCGATATCGGCGGAGCACGCACAAGGTGAAGCAACCGAGAAAGGGCAAATCGGAGCAATATAAAACGAGGCACATCCTCGCCTACAGTATTCAGCAAACAGCTGAACAACAAAGAGCGCCTGTCCTCTAGTACAAAATATCTAACGACATGACTACTTCAGTGGTAAGTCAGTGAAGATACGAATCCTCTGCAAGCGACTTTAATCCTTTCCTTGAAGAATCCTGGATAAATCGAAATTTAACTTAATACTTTTTATTGTGACAATGAGTTTTTGAGCCTTAGCTTTGAGTAACTTAAGCAAAATTTCATGAATTATTTTATGCAAATTTAACCATTTTTCATCCTGCAGAACTGAAAACAAACTTTTACTTAGTACTCAAAAATTAATTCAACATTTGTATGGAACTTTTCTGTTACCTGTACGAAAGTGAGTCTCAGTAATGATCCATCTTGTTTTATTAATAGTTACAACGAAAAGCTTTTTTACACAGGGAAAAGTAAAGGAGAATAATTATAGTATTGTAAATATTAAGTAATGTTCATAACATTTTCTTTTTTAATATTGTTTACACATTGTTTTTCTTTCAGTTGATCTTCTCAATGGCGCTCATAGCGTTTGGGTCATGTGGTCGTCTGGAGCCCCAGTACCTGCCACCGAGACCTGGAGGTGGTGGTTTCGGAGGTGGTGCTGGTAGTGGATCTGGTGGAGGAGCGGGAGGTGGTTCCTTTGGGGGTTCTGGTGGGGGTGCAGGGGGTGGTTTTGGAGGCGCTGGAGGTGCAGGAGGAGGATCCGGTGGCGGCTTCGGAGGATCTGGCGGATCAGGATTTGGAGGCGGCAGCGGCGGCGGCAGTGGCAACCAAATACCAATCACCAAGTTCGAGAACGTCAACAACGGCGACGGAACTTACCATTTCGAGTATGATTTATTTATTAACAATGTGCTCCAAAAATGTAATAGATCAAATTCTCTTTCTTCTTTGATGTTAGAATTACCTAAGCTATTTTTTAATGAAAACATTATTGAAAAACAAAGAATAATTTTACAAAAAATAACTTACAATTTGATGTTCCAGTTACGAAACCGGCAATGGCATATCAGCGCACGAGAGTGGAAAACCTAGTGCCCAGGGTCCCGAAGGTCCTGCGGTGACGGCTGAGGGAGGTTTTTCCTTCAAAACTCCTGATGGTCAGCAGATCTCCCTCACCTACACAGCTGATGAGAACGGTTTCCACCCTGTCGGACCCCATCTACCTACACCACCTCCCATCCCTGAAGAAATCCTTCGATCCATTGAGTTCAACAAACGCAACCCCTCATCGTAAGTACTGAGTTCATCAAGTTGGTTAGGCCTTTTTAGTTTGTTTCCTTGTAACTATACCCTGTACCTAACCATTACCTAGTAATCATTTCAATTTTGATACAGAAACTAAAAACAAAGATACCATTTTTCTGCGATCTCGTGAAATAATGAAGACTCTTTTTCCTAATATAAAAAGGCTATTGAATAAGTTGAGACTTAAAGTCTAACTTATCTAATAAGAGCAGAAACTCTAACCGTTATAAAGAGCTCCGGACTTGTGAAACTTTGCAAAGGGCTGTAGAGTTGAACTTTACTGGACTAAGGAGTGAAATAAAATCCTACGTCACAGTTCACAATGAAAAAAGAGATTAAATAGTTGACTGTCTGACTATTGCTCTAGTACACATTCCTTAATAAAATACCTGCAATTTCTTCTTTAAAACTTTTCTATCATATCAGAACTTTTTATCTTAATTTGTGTTTGAGTGTTATAGACTAGAATAGAATAGGCATATTCTGAAAGTAGAATACTTTAAAGTTAAATTCCTAATGCGTTGCTAGTGCGACTGCCGCGCAAGGATTCTCGGGTTTAATTTTTGTCTTAGGAAAATAAAAATGGTTATTGATGAGAAAACGTAATATGTAAAATAGAATTAGAATAAATCTAATACATGTTTCTCTGGCTATCCTTTTGAATAACATCCTTACTAATATTATAAATCGGAAAGTGAGTTTGTTTGTTTGTTCCGCTTTCACGCCGTAACTACTAAACCGATTGCTTTGAATTTTTGCAGACGTCAAGTTAGAAGTCTGGATTAAATAATAGGGTTTTTTTTATCCCGGAAAAAATTGATATTCCCGAGGGTATATAGATGGCACTGTGAGTATTGGTATATGTTACATAGGATACTTTTATCATTTTGTGAAGCAAGCGAAGTCGCAGGTAAAAGCTAGTGACATATAAATCGATTAATTAAGCCATGCTACCACACAAACATACCTTGCCCATGACAATACAACGCCCACGTAGCACAGACTAATTGTATTTTTTTCTATTTCAGTGAGGGATCCTACAATGGCGGCGGCGGTGGTTCCGGTAACGGCGGATCCGGTTCGGGAGGGAATGGAAACGGCTACCACTACTGATCTCACTGAAAACTCACATAGCTAATCGTTTTGAACTCGCAAACTGACGCACGTGACTTACGGACTAGTGGTGGGGAAAGGAATGAAGAATTGATATAGAAAGGACCTGGTAGACAAATGTAATCAGCTGGCATGGCGAGGGATACCTCAGTTTATGCGATACTATGCTTATTGTAGGAGAAGATCCCGCTATTTGCATAGAATTATTTCAATTAACAGGATTCTGGTGACCAAGTAAGAAAATTAGAAAGACCATCTTAGTTAGAGAGATCAAAAGAAACGGCTAAAGAACGCAGACCAGTATAAATAGACCTGTTACTGTTATTTCGAAGGAAGATGTAAAAAGAGACGTGCAAGGATTATTCAAAGGTCGTATTTAGAAGGGTAGAAACACTGACCGCATTTTCAATGCGTTCGCTTGCGAATTCAAAGCAATTTTAGCTAATGAGACATCGATCCGACGAAACGACTGCTTCAACCGGGAGGACTGTGATACCACGACGAAAATCGCACTGTTTATTTATTTAGTAAGTAATTGTAGTCTGTCAATGTAAATAGGCATGGTGTATGAATAAACTGGTGTTTATGTGAATTTGATTTTATTTTTCTTTACGACAAGCACGACTCTACTCTCAAATAAGGTGGACAAACAGGAAAACTTCTTTCTTTCTTTTCATTTTCTTTTAAATTAATATTAGTATCTGTGATCACTTGAAAAAGTACGTGTTTAAAATAAAACCATTCCCAATAAAAAAGCATACTGTTGTTATATATGTTTATGTTATCTATGGCAAGCTGGTCACTTTCAATATGGAATACTATTTATATTCTTCTTTTGTTTATAAAAATCACATATCTACACGACTTTATAGAACGGCAAATTTTGCCAACAAACTGTTGAACAGTTTGGCAATGCTTAGAATTAAGTAACATGCATGTATCTATAACTGAATGAATAAATAAAAAAAAATGTGTTTCAAAACAAACAATAGTACGGTCAACTCGTGCATAGAGTTGTAAAGGTCAGAAGTTCAAATCGAAACTCCATGAAACACAATATGTAGCTTTAACTTACCTGGTGCAATAAAAACCAATGAACCATTACACTACGTGGTTAAAAAGTTAAAATGAACTTAAACCATTATACTACATAGTTCATTTTAACTTATTACGAATATAGCAAAACATGCGTTCAAATAGTCGTAAAGACATTAAGCAGCAGTAGGATAGAATGAACTTTATTTCATACCTAACAAGAATTTTTTTTTAATAAGTTCTGATATTGCAGTGGTATTTTTGGTATCTACTAGCTTCGACCACGTCCCCGTGAGATAAAGAATATCCCCTATGTTATTCCAGACCATAATCTATCCGTGTTCCAATTTTCATACCGATCTCTTCAGCCGTTTTGACGTGATTGACTATAAAGCATACACGCAAACACACAAACGCACGAAGTTTTGCTTTTGTAATATTACTAAGATGAGTAGTAAAGTGCTTATCTATCTAATCTTGATTACTAATTAAACATACCATCACGCCTTTTATCCCCGAAAGGGTAGGCAGAAGTGTACATTATGCCACTGTACTATGTAACACCCACCTTTCACTATTTATGTTATGAGTCCCATCTAATAGGGTGAGCCTATTGCCATATACCGGGCACAAGTCCAGACTCCGTGCTACTACTGAGAATTTTTTAAAACCCAGTAATACTTTGCCCGACCCGGGAATCGAACCCGAGACCCCTTGCCCGGCTCTCGCACTTGCGACCACTCGGCCAATGAGGCAGTTCAATCTTGATTAATATTCGTACCAATGTCATTATGGGGCAAAATCTTACTTAGGTACTCCATTGATAAATTTATAAATAATGATAAATAAATAATCGGATAAATACGTACCTTCGTTGATTATACAAGAAACAATACATCACAAAAACATTTACTTGATTTTATTATATTTAAAGTTCATTTGTATGAGTAAAGTTAGAACATGCGGCCACTCACTTCGCTGCTATAAATGTCTCCCTTTCAACCGAACGTGCTTGTTTACTGCAAATGTATATCACCTAAATTATATCATAAATGCCACACTTAATGGTTGGTAGCTAAGCTAATATATATCTGTATATCCTAAACTAGTCATATTATTTACACTGAAAGCTTTCAAAATATTAGGAACGAGCTTTTACCAGCGACTTCGCTTGCGTTTTTAAGTATTGACGGCAGATTCACATTCAGATAGTCACAAATTGTCCTCATATGAATTTTGAGCCTTCTCTTTTTAAAATTATGAAAAGCTCCATATTAATTTTCACCCCTATACTAGGGAAGTAGGAGGTGAGAAAGAGACAAAAAGTAGCTTATGCCACTCTGTACACCTTCAACTATCTCCACTTAAAAAATCACGGCTATTGATGAATTAAAAAAATTGGACAAGCGAACAGAGACACACACATCCATATTTATAATATTAGTAAGTAAATAAGCATAAATTGTCAGATTAACACTAGTTTACTGGCTATTACGGGTATTGATATTTCCGCACGGCACGTGTTTTGGGAAATGCTGTTTGCATGAGTCCTAATGAACGGCGTTCATTTGTATAATAGCTTAACATAACA